AACTGGTTTATAACTGTCAGTAACTGGTTTATAACTGGTCAGTAACTGGTTTATAACTGGTCAGTAACTGGTTAATAAAAATAAAAATAAATAGGTACTTGCTTCAGACGTGGAGGTTATTCTCCTCCAGTGTTTATGGAGGACATTTCAGTGACTGTTCCTCTGCTGCAACAGATCAACTCAGCGCTCTTACTGGTTTTACATCTTAATGTTCAGAACCATAAACAGATCAACCTGTAAGTGGCGCTACTTGGACTAAAAACAACCAGATCATCGGCAGACATGCTTCACCCGACTGTTACCGATCATTTAGAGATAGTTAGAGGCTTTCACATCATCAATAAAGAAATGAATTCCCTCATCTCGCACCATTACAGGGCGGAGACGCCGCGCTCTGATAGAGTTACCAGTAAACCAGATTCTCACAAAGTGCACCCATAAAACACACAAGACTGACTCCTGTACCTGTTTCCTTCAGTGCATATTACACACACCTGTCAATCAAACATCAATCAATCAGTGCTTTAAGTGTCTGACAGTCTTTAAGCTCCTCCTCCTCCTGATGAAAATTAGGATGAACCTCTGATCTGATAAAAATCTTTGGTAACCATGGTAACCTTCCTCCTCCTCCTCAGTCATCGATGAAGAATAAATCTGATCAGAACATCCTGCAGGGAGGACGCCTTCCCCCAAAACACGCCACGAGTCTGCTCAAGAGATACCCCAACCAGACCTGTGAGATCTGACCTCTGAGATGTAACCTCCAAGACCTGACCTTCAAATCTGACCTCTAAATCTGACCACAGAGACCTGACCTCTGAGACATGACCTCTGAGATTTGACCTCTGACACCTGATCTCTGAGAGTTGAATCAGCGAGACAAAGAGGATGGTGATGATGAAGATTTAAAGACTGTTAAATGATGAAGAGCTGCTGACATGAGCAGTTTAAAGAGAGTGATGATGATGATGATGATGATGATGATGATGTTGATGTGTGTAACCAGGATACAAACATTTTAATCATATAATTCTCATTTTCATTTGCACTTCAGCATATTAAAGCTTATTCATGTTTTTAATAGTTCTGATGTCTGTGATGCTGCAGCTTCTGTTCAGATATATGTGTGTCTGAAACGTTCATATTATTATTAACTGAATGTTTGATGTAAGGTTTAATACATTCTGTCACTGTGATGGCACTGACTCTGGGTTTGTTGATCTAATTAAACTCTCAGTCAGAGGATCCTATTGGTGGTTTGATTTGATTATTTTTTGAGTCTTCTTGGGTTTCAGGCTGCTGCTCCACAGTTTCCTGTCATCTCAGAGTGCTTCATATGTGGATCATCACTTTGTTTGTTTATATCACAGCAGCTTCACATACAACACAAAGTCATCAGTGTGAACCTTAAACTGAAGGTTGGGGTATCTGTTAACATTAAATCAATCATCTGTAAACATTTATCAATCAATCTTAATTTGTTTAGTAACAATTCATAACAAATAAAACCTGGATCAGAACCAGACTCATGATGAACAGACAAACCTGCATCAGAACCAGACTCATGATGAACAGACAGAAATCTGGATCAGAACCAGACTCATGTTGAACAGACAGAAACCTGGATCAGAACCAGACTCATGATGAACAGACAGAAATCTGGAAGAGAACCAGACTCGGTGCCGTTCAACGTAACAGCAGTCTGTCCCCATCAATTGCCCAAAGAACCTACGAGACAAGGGAGATCAAGAGCACTCAGAAGGATATATGGTTAGTAACTAACATAAGGAAGTTAGCTATAAGAGTGAGAGTGAAAAAACAGGATCTCAAAGTGCCAAGTCCCCTGTATATCTAAGCCTATAGCAGCATAACTAGCACGAGTAACACGAGTATGACTGATAACTGAAGGCTCTACCTCCTATAGTACATTTAGAGACCGTAGGTACCACGAGCAGGCCTGATAACTGAAGGCTCTACCTCCTATAGTACATTTAGAGACTGTACCACGAGCAGGCCTGATAACTGAAGGCTCTACCTCCCATAGTACATTTAGACACTGTACCACGAGCAGGCCTGATAACTGAAGGCTCTACCTCCCATAGTACATTTAGAGACCGTAGGTACCACGAGCAGGCCTGATAACTGAAGGCTCTACCTCCCATAGTACATTTAGAGACGTAGGTACCACGAGCAGGCCTGATAACTGAAGGCTCTACCTCCCATAGTACATTTAGGGACTGTACCACGAGCAGGCCTGATAACTGAATGTTCTACCTCCCATAGTACATTTAGGGACTGTAACACGAGCAGGCCTGATAACTGAAGGCTCTACCTCCCATAGTACATTTAGAGACCGTAGGTACCACGAGCAGGCCTGATAACTGAATGTTCTACCTCCCATAGTACATTTAGGGACTGTAACACGAGCAGGCCTGATAACTGAAGGCTCTACCTCCCATAGTACATTTAGAGACTGTAGGTACCACTAGCAGGCCTGATAGCTGAATTTTCTACCTCTCATAATACATTTAGAGACCGTAGGTACCACAAGCAGGCCTGATAACTGAAGGCTCTACCTCCCATAGTACATTTAGAGACCGTAGGTACCACAAGCAGGCCTGATAACTGAAGGCTCTACCTCCCATAGTACATTTAGAGACTGTACCACGAGCAGGCCTGATAACTGAAGGCTCTACCTCCCATAGTACATTTAGAGACTTTACCACGAGCAGGCCTGATAACTGAAGGCTCTACCTCCCATGATACATTTAGAGACTGTAGGTACCACGAGGAGGCCTGATAACTGAAGGCTCTACCTCCCATAATACATTTAGAGACTGTACCACGAGCAGGCCTGATAACTGAAGGCCCTACCTCCTATAGTACATTTAGAGACCGTAGGTACTACGAGCAGACCTGATAACTGAAGGCTCTAACTCCCATAGTACATTTAGAGACTGTATGTACCACGAGCAGGCCTGATAACTGAAGGCTCTAACTCCCATAGTACATTTAGAGACTGGACCATGAGCAGGCCTGATAACTGAAGGCTCTACCTCCCATAGTACATTTAGAGACTGTAGGTACCACTAGCAGGCCTGATAGCTGAATTTTCTAACTCCCATAGTACATCTAGAGACTGTAGGTACCACTAGCAGGCCTGATAGCTGAAGGCTCTACCTCCCATAGTACATTTAGAGACCGTAGGTACCACAAGCAGGCCTGATAACTGAAGGCTCTACCTCCCATAGTACATTTAGAGACCGTAGGTACCACGAGCAGGCCTGATAACTGAAGGCTCTACCTCCCATAGTACATTTAGAGACTGTACCACAAGCAGGCCTGATAACTGAAGGCTCTACCTCCCATAGTACATTTAGAGACTGTACCACGAGCAGGCCTGATAACTGAAGGCTCTACCTCCCATAGTACATTTAGAGACTATAGGTACGGTGTCGGGAAGTGTGTGTTACATGTCGGATAGTGTGTGTTACATGTCAGATAGTGTGTGTGTTACATGACGGATAGTGTGTGTGTTACATGACAGATAGTGTGTGTTACATGTTTGATAGTGTGTGTGTTACATGTCAGATAGTGTGTGTTACATGACAGATAGTGTGTGTTACATGTTTGCTAGTGTGTGTGTTACATGTCAGATAGTGTGTGTTACATGACAGATAGTGTGTGTTACATGTTTGCTAGTGTGTGTGTTACATGTCAGATAGTGTGTGTTACATGACAGATAGTGTGTGTTACATGTTGGACAGTGTGTTTGTTTTTGTCTGGGTAACAGGACTTTCTGTGTTCATTGTCGCAGACATTGTTGTCATCACACACAAACATTTACCCTCCCTTCTTATCTCTTCCTGTCAATCAGCAGGATACACACACACACACAGACCCTAGTCTGTGGTTCTAAGATCATTAATAATCATCAGAGAGAGGAAACACCAAAACAAACAATCAGAGCTGTTAATGTCAGCGAATTACACTGTTTCATCTTTATTAGACTCCTCCTCTTTTTCATGACACGATCAATAGTCCTCTACACTCTGGGATCAGGGTTAACATGACCTAATACAGATTGTGATTGTTCAACTGCACCGAAACAAAGCTACACCCTCATTAAATACACTGAGGCACACACACACACACACACACACACACACACACACACACACATACACACACACACACACACACACACACTGAGACACAAACACACATACATTTTCTTTCTTAATAAAATAAGTTATACAAATTTCTGGATTGTTTTTTATATGAATGTAATTCTTTCTATGACACAACATGGTTGGGTCATTTTGTCATTTTTATGTGATGCTTCAGCAACTTTGTTAATG